CAGGTTTTCAAATGCAGAATCCATTAAGTCGTTAATTCTGCCTTTTGTGATGTCTTCCAGTTTCAAAGATTTCACGAAGTTTGGTCATTCAGTGACAGAACAGCATTAATTTTCACCAGGATTTCATTAAATATTCCTATTATCTTTTTAACAATAAAGTTAATTATATGAATATAGTTTTAACTTGTTATGGTATTTATCAGCAGAAGCTACAGTTTGTGTCCACGTCACTGGAAAACACCACAGTGAGTACTGGGGTAATTACGTGTATACTGGACGAAGGTATTAAATGCAAGTAGTTTCACTATAATGTTCAGGAAGAGATAAGATACATAGATATATTTATCTGCGATAAAATTGATAAGGATTCTCACAAACATCTAGTGTCACTGAAATCATCAGCATTGCACTATGCTATACATATGAAATAACTTTCAGAAAAAACTTAATACATAAAATATTAACTTCACAGAATTTATTCTCCAGTCAATCACATTAAATTTAGTTTTTTTAGGCTACATAATCGTCTATCAACAAGTTATAAATAATTATAAGATAGAATGACAATAATAATTCCAAGAATGAATAAGAACGACAAATGTTATGCGTCGCTCAAGGACTGGCGGTGTCATCCTGAGGATCACAGAACTACCATTATGTAGTTCTGTGACCCTCGCCAAGGAACTCAATATGTCAACACAAGCAGACAGTACTACCATTCAGTAGTTCTGAGAGATTTTGATTTTACCACGGAAGTGGCTAGTTTATTGTGCACCCCATATCCGTCCTGTGGATGGTAGCACAAGAGCATATGGATACACAAAAGCCCTAGGAACTTGGCCCCAAAAGGGTTAACAGGAGCTTGTCTGGATTTATATCTACAGTTCACTTATTTGTTACAAGCAAATGAAGGAAAAGTTTGCTTAATATATCTAGTATCTTATTTTCAGTGGTCACGTGTGGTCATACCTGTCCTGAGATGTCTGGGTATTAGAATGCGGTGTTACCAAGCACCATGGCATGTTGTAGTCTTTTAGAATCTCAGCTTAAAGTCTTGAAGGAGGTTATACTTCTTCAGGAGGAAAATAGTAGGCTGAAGCTTTGCTTAGATGTGTTTGGCAGTGAGTGTGAAATAGCTGGTGCTGGTAAGGAGGAAATGCTTACCACCAGTGAGGGTGGCAGCCGCTTTAAGTGGCAAGTGGTTCACAATTCAGGAAAAAGGAAGATAAGGAGGGTTAATAAAGATGTGAAGGTAGGAAATCGATTCTCTGTTCTCCAAGACTAGTGTACTTCAGTGGCTAGTGAGGTTGAAGGTACCACTGACTCCCCTGCTAATCAAGGTAAGAATATTCTGATTATGGAAGACTCAGGTAAGATATATGGACCGTGCTTTTTGTAAAAGAGCTAGAAAAGTCAGACAGAGTGTGCCTCCCAGGGGCTTGTGTTGGCGACATAGTCAGCAGGTTGGATAATATTATGTCAGGTAATGGGAACAAGCCCATTATCTGTCTTAATGCGGGGGTAATGACATTGGGAAGGGCAGGAGACAGGAGCTACTGGATAAGTACAGGTCAGCCATAGAAGTAGTCAGGTCTAAGGGACGGATCCCTATCATATGTAGCATATTGCCTAGAAGGGGAGTAGGCAATGAATGGATGTCTAGGCAATTGGTATCAATTGCTGGCTAGATAGGTACTGCAAGGAACTTACAATCCCATTCATTGATAACTGGGATAAATTCTATGGCAAACATGATATGTATGCAAGGGATGGGGTTCATGTCTCTGGGGCTGGAGTGGTTGCATTAGTCATTTCGATTGAGGGGGTAGTTGATGACTTGTCTAGGACTTTAAACTGATAGATTATAGAGGTATGGGTGTTTGTAGGAAACAATCAGGTTGCAGTATTATTGCTCGAAACAGCAGATATTACCAGGATGCCTCAGGGATATGTTTAAAAGACAATATTCAAAATAAAGTTCCCAATAAAGACAAAGCAACTGATCAATTAACAAAGAGAGATACTAGAGGGCAACGAGTGACTAGCTCCCTTAAGGTTTACTATACAAATAGTAGGAGTCTAAGAAATTAGATGAGCTAAGATTACTTGCAAGTGCAGGTAATATAGATATTATTGCTATAACAGACCTGGTATAACTTGAAGGATAGAGAAATGCCTTCTGAATGCAGCATAAAGGGTTATAAACTATTCCACACTGATAGGGCCAACAGGAAGGGTGGTGGAGTGGCGATGTATGTTAGAGAAAATTTAACTTGTTGTGTTAGACATGATATAAGAATAGAAACATCGGACACAGAATCTGTTTGACTACAGTTTCTCGAGGGGTATGAAAAATTAATTTTGGGTGTGATATATAGGCCCCCAAACCTTGATAGGGAGTGCAGTAAGCTGCTATGGGACGAAATTCATAAGTCGTCTAAATATGAAAATGTTGTGTTAATGGGAGATTTTGACTTTAGACAAATTGATAGGGACAATTTGACAGAAAATCTTGAGTCTAGTGACTTTCTTGATACAGTTCAGGATTGGTTTTTAAAACAGGTTGTGACAGAACCAACTAGAGGAAACAATCTGCTTGACTTGGTTCTTGCCAACAAAGATTCACTAATTAATAATCTTGAGGTTAATAATGAGCTAGGGGAAAGTGATCACAAATCACTTGATTTCAATATATTATGGAATTACCCAGTAAACTACAATCAAGGCTCGGTCCCAGACTTTCGACTGGCTGATTTCCTGGGACTGAAAAATTACCTGGGTGGGCTTAATTGGGATGCCCTGACTATGGGTCAGGTAGGTGATCTTGGTTGCCAATATGACGTTTTTCAGAGCATAGTTCTAGCTGTCCAGACAACTTTTGTTCCGAGTAGGGAAATTAGATCTAACAAAAATGATCCCAAATGGATGAACAATAGATTAAAACATCTCATAGGTCAAAAGAGAGGCATATATAGGCGTATCAAAAAAGAAGAAGGGCAGTTAAGAAATCAATATATTCAATTAAAGAGAGAAATAAAAAAAGGAATAAGAAAAGCTAAAAGGGATTATGAGGCTAAGATCGCAAGGGATTCGAAAACTAACCCAAAGGATTTCATTCAGGTATACAGAAGTAAGATTAGAGACAAGATAGGCCCACTTAAGAGTAACGCAGGTCAGATCACTGACAGTGATAAGGATATGTGTGAAATTTTCAATTCTAACTTCCTTTCAGTTTTCACCCAGGAAAATACTAGCGAAATTCCAGAAATAATAAATTATGTAGAACAGGACGATAATAAACTATGCACGTTTGCAGTAACTAGTGACATGGTCCTCAGACAAATAGAGAAATTGAAACCTAACAAATCCCCAGGCCCTGATGAATTGTTTGCAAGGGTTTTAAAGGAATGTAAAGAGGAACTTAGCAAACCTTTGGCTAATCTTTTCAACATATCATTACAAACTGGCATAGTGCCTGATAAGTGGAAAATGGCAAATGTAATACCTATTTACAAAGCATGTGACAGGTCCTTAGCTTCGAACTATAGACCAATAAGCCTTACCTTCATAGTGGGAAAATTTATGGAATCAATAACTGCCGAGGCAATTCATAGCCATCTTGATAGGCATTAACTGATAAGTGAATCACAACACGATTTTACTAGGGGCGTTCCTGTCTTACGAATTTACTAACTTTTTTCGCTAAGGTGTTTGAGGAGGTAGATCATGGTAATGAATATATTGTGTATATGGACTTCAGTAATGCTTTCGATAGAGTTCCACATCAGAGACTTTTGATGAAACTTAAGGCACACGGAATAGAAGGAGAAATTTTTCACTGGGTAGAGGCGTGGTTGACAAATAGGCAGCAAAGAGTTTGCATAAATGGAGAGAAATCAGAATGCGGGCACGTCACAAGCGGTGTTCCACAGGGGTCAGTGTTCGGCCCCTTGTTGTTCACAGTTTACATCAACGATATAAATGAGGGAATAAATAGCGACATAAGCAAATTTGCTAATGACACCAAAATAGGCCGTCCAATTCATTCTACTGAGGACATTAGTGCACTCCAGGATGATTTGAATGGATTGATGCAATGGTCGGAGAAGTGGCAGATGCAGTTTAAAATAGTCAAATGCAAAGTGCTAAATGTTGGACAGGACAATAACCATGCCACTTATAAACTGAATAATGTAGATCTTAATACTACTGATTGCGAAAAAGATTTAGGAGTTCTGGTTAGCAGTAATCTGAAACCAAGACAACAGTGCATTAGTGTTTGCAATAAAGCTAACAGAATCCTTGACTTCATATCTAGAAGTATAAATAATAGAAGTCCTCAGGTTGTTCTTCAAATCTATATATCCTTGGTTAGGATTCATTTAGAATATGCTATACAGTTCAGGTCATTATATTACAGAATGGATATAAATGCAGTGGAAAACGTACGGGTACACAGTGGGAGGAAGGTAAAGGTACGCAGTGGGAGCAAGGTATGGGTACACAGTGGGAGGAAGGTAAAGGTACGCAGTGGGAGCAAGGTATGGGTACACAGTGGGAGGAAGGTAAAGGTACGCAGTGGGAGCAAGGTATGGGTACACAGTGGGAGGAAGGTAAGAGTACACAGTGGGAGCAAGGTATGGGTACACAGTGGGAGGAAGGTAAAGATACGCAGTGGGAGCAAGGTATGGGTACACAGTGGGAGGAAGGTAAAGGTACGCAGTGGGAGCAAAGTATGGGTACACAGTGGGAGCAAGGTAAGAGTACACAGTGGGAGCAAGGTATGGGTACACAGTGGGAGCAAGGTATGGGCACACAGTGGGAGGAAGGTATGGGTACACAGTGGGAGGAAGGTAAAGGTACACAGTGGGAGGAAGGTATGGGTACACAGTGGGAGGAAGGTAAAGGTACACAGTGGGAGGGAGATATGGGTACACAGAGGGAGTAAGGTAAGGGTACATAGTGGGAGCAAGGAATGGGTACACAGTGGGAGCAAGGCATGGGTACACAATGGGAGGAAGGTATGGGTACACAGTGGGAGGAAGGTAAAGGTACACAGTGGGAGGGAGGAATGGGTACACAGTGGGAGCAAGGTATGGGTGCACAGTGGGAGCAAGACATGGGGACACAGTGGGAGTAGGGTATGGGTACACACTGGCAGGAAGGTAAAGGTACGCAGTTGGAGCAAGGTAAGGGTACAGAGTGGGAGGAAGGTATGGGTACACAGTGGGAGCAAGGTAAGGGTACAGAGTGGGAGGAAGGTATGGGTACACAGTGG